TATATATAGCTAAACTCAACAAGGTAAACAACAAGGCGATTCCCATTTACACAGTGGTAAGAGTGCTGGACCGGAAGTGTCGCACAAAAAAACGGAAGCTGGCTGCGTTCTGTTTTGCCTCTGTGTTTCCGTGAAAAATAAGGTGGGATGAGCAGAGGAAAAGATCCCACTCTGGGGTTGAGGTGAATAAAATAACTGTGTTGTGACCTAAATAACATGCTGTTGCTATCTGCAAAAAGTATTAAAGCATGAAAACCCGCATTTTTAATGTACGAAAGCATCCTGTATCATAACTATATGTGTGCCGTTTGTAACAAACCAAACCGCGTGAAAATCAGTTGAAAATTCAGCGAGTTATTCTATTTTACTTGTGTATACAGCTCCTTCCTCAATAGAAGTGAATGCACTGTGGAGGCAAAGCGAGACCCATCCAAGATGGCGGCCGGCGAGGACGCGCTCAGGCAGTCGATGCGGCGTCTATGTATATATGTCTATGGGTTTAAATTGAAGCTGCAGCTGAATCACCGCCTTCTGCCCGGTAATTTACCGGAAGCTGTCTGACTCCCGGTGTTAATGTTGTTGTCTGCTGTCCGGTAATTTACTGTTTGTTGAAGTTTACTCACCGTCACTTTTCTGTCTCCATCGAACAAACAGGAATAACCGCGCTTCCGCTGAGGGGGGCGGGGCCTACTACAGTAGCTAATGAGAATACAGATGGAAGTGACGACATCTCCAGCTGGCCAATCACAGTGTCCCTATTCACTAACTTTATATTTTTTATCAATATTTAGAAAGAAATTCAACATTTTTTATATAACGAACCATTTTATTAAAATTAATGTGTAAATAACGGTGTTTTTATTTATTTTTACAAAGTTTCATGAGCTTGTCACTAATGTATTTTATCATGTTATTTTTGTTTAATGAGCTTCTGATGAAACAGTTTAAATAAGGACAGAGTTCACTCTGAAACTTAATCCATATTAATCTATAAATAAAATCTTCAATGGTACTAAAATGGTTCCAAAAGTCTTAAAAATGTTCAGACATTGAACATTTTTAATAATTTAAAGAATTTGGCATCACACATATCAGGACAGAGAAACCAACGACACTCCTTTACATTTACAACATCCAATCAAATCAAAACGATAATCCCTGACCCTCCCTGAGTGACCGGAGGATAATCCCTGACCCTCCCTGAGTGACCACAGGATAATCCCTGACCCTCCCTGAGTGACCACAGGATAATCCGTGACCCTCCCTGAGTGACCGGAGGATAATCCCTGACCCTCCCTGAGTGACTGGAGGATAATCCCTGACCCTCCCTGAGTGACTGGAGGATAATCCCTGACCCTCCCTGAGTGACTGGAGGATAATCCCTGACCCTCCCTGAGTGACTGGAGGATAATCCCTGACCCTCCCTGAGTGACTGGAGGATAATCCCTGACCCTCCCTGAGTGACTGGAGGATAATCCCTGACCTTCCCTGAGTGACCGGAGGATAATCCCTGACCCTCCCTGAGTGACTGGAGGATAATCCCTGACCCTCCCTGAGTGACTGGAGGATAATCCCTGACCTTCCCTGAGTGACCAGAGGATAATCCCTAAGTGACTAGAGGATAATCCCTAAGTGACTAGAGGATAATCCCTGACCCTCCCTGAGTGACCAGAGGATAATCCCTGACCCTCCCTGAGTGACTGGAGGATAATCCCTGACCCTCCCTGAGTGACTGGAGGATAATCCCTGACCTTCCCTGAGTGACCAGAGGATAATCCCTAAGTGACTAGAGGATAATCCCTAAGTGACTAGAGGATAATCCCTGACCCTCCCTGAGTGACCAGAGGATAATCCCTGACCCTCCCTGAGTGACTTCTGTCTCCAGCAGCTTCTTATTGATTCACTGATGATCATTTGTTTTTATTCCTCTGTTGTGATAAATGTTCATCCTGATGATCAATAAAGTTTAATTTGATGTGACATCACATTCACTTTCTGATTGTTGTTACCTCATGAATGACATCACCAGGTATGACATCACAGCGTTGCATCAGCAGCATCAATTTCCTTGTCACCAGAAAGTAAAACCGATGGTGACGTAATCTCTGAGCCAAACTCCAGAGAAGCAGGATGGACGGATGTGACGGTGCCTTCAAAATAAGAGCGAGACATTACTAACATCAGACAGGAGAGCTGACGGTGTTCCTGTTTCACGTCTCCGACATGTTTGAATTAAACTCAGTCTCCACTTCCTGTCAGAGTCTCCACTTCCTGTCCGCTCAGTGATGAAAACTCACATCTGTTCTGTGATAGAGGGAAAGAGAGGACGTTTCCGGTTTTATTTTGAAAGGGTGTGTACTACCTGTGTGTGATCTGTGCGAGCCGGTTTGGAAAATGAAAGTGAAGGGACTTCTCCATCCTCAGAGAAAACTTCCCTCGTCAGCTCACACAGGACAACACGACCTCATTTATATTCAACATTAATAAACATAACATTAATAAGATTCTTTAGCTTTAGCTTTAAATTATTATTATTTAATGTTATTGTTAATTATCTGCAATATGTTATCTGTTCATCTTCTGAACGTCTTCACTGATACCAGATTTAAAATTATGAAATTAAATCAAATTAGATATTTAATAATTTTATGTCTCTGAAGGAACAAAGAACATTTACTGTGGAATTGAACTCAAGAACAACCTGATGTGCTTTGTTGTCCAAGTGTCTTTTTGTTTGTTTGTTTGTTTGTTTGTTTTGTTTGTTGTTGTTTTTAACCGTACATGTTGATTCAGAGGTGTCACAGGTCCAAGAATAAAACATTATAATAATTTAACATTAATAAATGAGCTGTTTTAAATCCTGTGAACTTTCAGTTTGGATACTTTGAGAATGTTTCACTAACAAAACTTTTAATGAAACTTTTAATCAAACATGTAAATGTAACATGTTACTGTGTGTATGCGTGTGTGTGTTTGTGTGTGTGTGTGTGTGTGTGTGTGTGTGTGTGTGTGTGTGTGGAAAGGGAGAGTGAAAAGAAAGATAGAAAGTGGGAAATTCTGTCAGTCTTTCACTCTGTGTGTTTAAATGCAGCATGTTGTATGCACTGAGACACAAACATTCCACCGGCAGCGTCTGCCTCTTCATTGTATCCTTCATTATCTTCATCATCATTGTCTTCATCGTCTTCATCATGACCAGCTGGACCGTCCTGCTCGTCGTCCTCTGCAGCTCCCTGACCCCTGTCCTCGGCTGTGATTGGCTCCGCCACTACGGTCACCTGAGCAACATGTCTCTGCACCTGCTCCATCAAATGGTGAGTACAACTGACACAAGGACCCTTGAGGAGCTTCCAGGGTCCTTGAAGAGATTCTAGGAGTCATATACATATGTAGTGTATTCTTTGATATACGTTTTTAAATACTACCAGCCACTTTATTAGGTACACCTGTTCAACTGCTCATCAACACAGATATCTAATCAGCCAATCAGGTGTCAGCAGCTCATTAACATTTAGTTATGTAGACATGGTGAAGACGAGCTGCTGAAGTTCAAACGGAGCATCAGNGTGTGTGTGTGTGTGTGTGTGTGTGTGTGGAAAGGGAGAGTGAAAAGAAAGATAGAAAGTGGGAAATTCTGTCAGTCTTTCACTCTGTGTGTTTAAATGCAGCATGTTGTATGCACTGAGACACAAACATTCCACCGGCAGCGTCTGCCTCTTCATTGTATCCTTCATTATCTTCATCATCATTGTCTTCATCGTCTTCATCATGACCAGCTGGACCGTCCTGCTCGTCGTCCTCTGCAGCTCCCTGACCCCTGTCCTCGGCTGTGATTGGCTCCGCCACTACGGTCACCTGAGCAACATGTCTCTGCACCTGCTCCATCAAATGGTGAGTACAACTGACACAAGGACCCTTGAGGAGCTTCCAGGGTCCTTGAAGAGATTCTAGGAGTCATATACATATGTAGTGTATTCTTTGATATACGTTTTTAAATACTACCAGCCACTTTATTAGGTACACCTGTTCAACTGCTCATCAACACAGATATCTAATCAGCCAATCAGGTGTCAGCAGCTCATTAACATTTAGTTATGTAGACATGGTGAAGACGAGCTGCTGAAGTTCAAACGGAGCATCAGAATGATGAACACCGGAGGCACTGGGAGCACTGGGAGCACTGGGAGCTGTGACCCCAAGACTGGGAAAGTGGCTCCATCAGATTCAGGTCCAACATCTGAGATCTGTCCAGGAGAACAGCTGAGATACTGAACCCTGAGGCCTAGTCCACACGGGTCCATGTCACTGTTCCGACATGTGATTATTACTGTATTTGTGTACCACAGAGGATCAGCAAGCGCAACAAAAGTAGGCTACTGGTCGAGATACAAGTGTCATAGAGAGAAGAGAATGAAACACCATAACCTCCTGTTATTAACTCTGGGGTCGTCGTTGTGTGGGGAGCTCTCCGCGGTGCTGAACGGCTCCCGGCGGGCGTATTTCTGCCTTGATGGTGCGCCGTGACTGGCTCTGGGTCAGCTGGGAAAGGCTTGAGGCGAAGCAGGCTCACAGCTTATGTTTGTCACTTTCTTTTTCATTTTAACCCACACCATGATCTTTTCCTAACCCTAACCCTAACCAAGTGGTTTAATATGGTCGGACCAATGGGTTTAATATGGTCGGAACAATGGGTTTAATATAGTCGGAACAATGGGTTTAATATGGTCGGACCAATGGGTTTAATATAGTCGGAACAATGGGTTTAATATAGTCGGAACAATGGGTTTAATATGGTCGGAACAATGGGTTTAATATGGTCGGAACAATGGGTTTAATATGGTCGGAACAATGGGTTTAATATGGTCGGACCAATGGGTTTAATATAGTCGGAACAATGGGTTTAATATAGTCGGACCAATGGGTTTAATATGGTCGGACCAATGGGATGTCGGACCAATGGACAGTTCCCGTCCACACAGACCCGTGTACTTCTGACACCGTGGATCATTCTATGTGATTTGGCTGTTTGGCCACACGCAACCGTGTTTCTTTGAAACCGGAGTCCAGGGTGAAGTTTTTGGAAGACTCCGGTGCCAGCAGGATAACTGCAGTATTTTATTACCTGTCGCCCTTGTTTGACGTCAGAGTGACGGTAAATAGCTCTTTTCTAAAAGTTTACTAACTACTAAAATCCCACATTCTGTGTTAAATACATGTCTTAATTATATTTACAATGAAGCTTGATCCTGCACTCTGCACTTAGCCCGTATGTGAATGTTTACCATTGCTATGGCAACAAGTGACAGCTGACGTTAGCGTCAGTTAGCTTAGCTCAATAACCCAAACAATAACCCATAAAAATATAATTCAACATATTTAAATAAAATCAACAGCAGCTACCAGCAGTTACAGTCCTTACAGCCTTAGCTAATGTGTTGTCACAGGTCAGAGTGTCAAGAGTAAAGTAATAACAGCTTAAATCCCTGAGGAACTACGGTAGCATTAGTGACAGTTGCATCCACTCGTATGCAGTTACCTTAAGTTACAGAAGCACAATACAAACTATATAAACAAGATATCTATTAAGGGTACACCACTGATAATATCTGAAGGTGCTTGGGTGACATTTACCCACCTGACAGAATAAATGAAAACATTTTGCTGGTCTTCAGTAGCTTAA